AAAAAAAAAAAAAAAAAAAGTAAGTTTTCCTGCTGAAATGAAAAAGGGGCAGAGCATGTCACGATTCCAATATATTTTTAAAAATTAATTTTCCTTTCTTTACATTTTTACTCACATTAATGAAATCAAGTGTACACACAATATTGCAGGCTACATTAATATAAACTTAAATTTCTCATACTGTATGGATTTCAAACTGAAGACTAACATAGGATGCGCTAAAAGTTCATTATTTGATCTTCACTTTTTAAACTCAGTTTCTAAATATTAAAATGCCTTATGGTCCAACCAAGACATAATTCACAGGCAAATAAGCAATAAGAGTCTCACTGAAATAGTTTTTCTATTGTTATGATGCATTAGTGGAGGAAAACTGGAATGAGAAAGTCAAGTAAACTAAGAATCATTCCATAAAAAACAGTATTTTCAATAAATAATCTTTCCCTTCTACTACGTGTGCAAGTGGATTTGTTACTCATGAAAGTAAGGGATTTACAGGAATGGACCACCTAGAAAGGTAGCTTATGTAAGCTTACTCACACACACTTATCACAACACAACTCAATTCCACCTGGTGTGATAAATGGCAGGTTTGACAATGTTGCAATGTGGTCAGATTGAAATATCAGAGATTAGAATGAGAACAGAATAATTTTTTATTTGCATCCTAAGTGAGTATGAATTAAATTCCACACTCGAAAGCTAACACACAAATCCACTGCATAATCTAACCACCTATATTAAACTGGCTATTATATTACTACTTTCTTTTCAAGTATTGCCCAAAATGTATAGTGACAAAATATTAATCCACAATATAAAGCTATTTCAGGGAAAAGGTTAGCAATCATTTGAGATGCTCAGACCATCATATTAAAAACGGGAATTAGGGAGCTTGAAAACACAATGGGATTATGCTTTAGCCTCTTCCTTCTGTAAACCTAGCTTCAAATCCTGAATTTGTTCATAAGTGAAAATAAATTCCATGGCATCACCCCCGTCCCCAGCTAACGGCACAATTAGGAGTCTCTGCTAAAAAGAGGTTCAGGATTAAGAAATGTTACAAATCAGGTGTGCAGAACTGTGAGGGGAACATTATATGCATCTACTTGCAGCATGTTTAGTTCCCTATTAGTCATTATCTTCCAGAATTAGCATTCCAGACTATTGTCATTGCATTGTTTTATCATTAATATGGCTAGCCTCCAGGAGCCCTAGAGTGTGACCTACTTCCCTCATTCCCTCTAATATACAGTACTATCCTATCTTAAAAGCATTGAGACTAGGCACTTCTCTCTTGCTATGCCAAACTAACATTCTAGAAAAATTACAGGAGGAGAAAAGCCTCCTTTAAAAAGAGCAAAAAAGATTTAGACAGCTCAGCAAGAGCAAAAATTACCTTGTCTCATTTTGACACACTGAAAAGCAAACATTTATAGTAGATCACATTGGTTCACAGCCATACTTGAGAAAAGCAGCTACACCCACTACACATCAACTTCCACATATAACAGAAAAGCCCAATATTTATTAGAACCTCAGCTCATGACTCCCAGGATTCTGAATGCTACCTAATCCGCAAGGATCTATTCTTCCATTAACACCACCACAAGACAAGACCTCCTTAATATTTATGCCAAGGAGTGAATTAGTTTTTGTCCAGCACCTCAAACAAATCTACATAAATCCTATGTATAGTATTCAAAATATAGTAATGATCTCTTTCAAGCTACTTTCCATTTCATCGGAACATTTAAACCTGAAGTTTTAGAATGAATGTTGTTCAGGACATACTGTTCTACTATGCTACTGCATATCTGTAGGCACAACCAATGTGAATTGAAAATTAGCTAAAAGACTGTAAAAGGAGAGATTACTCATCCTGTGAAGTAACTAGTTTTTCAGGATGTGTATCGCTATGGATGCTCCACTCGAGGTACACATGCACCCCATGTGCCTTTGATCGGAAATTTTAGTTAATAGTGCCCATTCAGCTGCACATGCACTCTACTCCACCTCATGCTCTGCTCTGGCTATACAGAACTGCGCGGGCAAACCATCCTCAGTTTCTTCTCTATCACAGAGCTCCATAGCAGAGAACTACGAAGCAAAGGGGAAGGTGATTGGGTACTGGAGCATCCATAAGGACACACATCTCGAAGAACTACAGTTACTGTACAGGCAGAATAACCTCTCCTTTGAGTACTATTCCTATGGGTGCTCCACTTCACTTAGGACTGAGCTGCACACTTTAAGGAGTGGGGGGGGCTTCTGAGTTGGATACAAGATCGAAGACAGTACAGTAGAGCCAAACACAGCATCAGAAGCTGAGTCATGAATTACTGCATAACATTCAGAAAAGGTGTGCATGGAGGACCCAAGTTGAAGCTTCAAAGATCTCAGCAATGACCACAATACAATACAAACCACCACAATAACTCTGGCCTTGTCCTTCCTTATCTTGATCAACACCTTGGATATTAGAGGAGTTGGAGGAAAAAACACATACAAATCCAACATCCAATGAAGGAAAAAGGCATTTCCCAAGAAATGGTAACCCAGTCCCCCTCTCCAAGCAGAACTGGAAACACTTCCTGTTTCTGGCCATGATGAACAGATCTATCCGTGAGATGCCCCAACATTTAAATATGTAATGGCGTACAATGGGATCTACCTCCCATTTGTGATTTTGAGAGAGGTGTCTGTGGAGGGCATCTGCGGTGATGTTCTAAATGCCTGGAAGGTAAGCTGCTGAGATTTTGTATGCACCAATTCCAGAGTCTCACTGCTTCAGCGCAGAGGAAGGGTGATCTCACTCCCCTTTGACTGTTGATATAAAACATGCATGATATATTGTCCGTCACAATCTTCATATATTTGCCCCGATCAATGGCATAAATTGGAGACAGGCATTCCTGACTGCCCTGAGTTCCAGGAACTTGATGTGTAGAGTAGTCTTCCGAGATGACCACCTGTCGTAAGTTGCGTGAGTGTTGAGACGTGCTCCCCATCCCAATAGGGATGCATATGTTATTATGACCATTAGAGACAGTTGAGCAAAGGGGACTTCTGTGCAAATATTGTGAGGGTCTTTTCACCACTTGATGGACTTCTTCATGACAGAAGGAACTGAGAATAGTTTGTTCAAGCTGTGTTTGCTTGGTGAATAAACAAACAGTTCCAAGCCACCCATAAAGGCAGTGCATGTGCAATCTCATGTGGCTTATCACAAAAGTAATACCTGCCATATGTCTCAATAATTGGAGACAGTTTTTGACTGATGTCTGGGGATTGATTTGGACTGTAGTGACTAAATTCGATAGGGTTGTAAACCTGTGAGTAGGAAGGTAGGGTTTGGCCACTACCGCATTAAGATAAGCTTCTATAAACTCCAATCTTTGCACCAGGGTCAAGGGGGACTTTGAAATAACAATGGCCACTCAGAAGGTTAGAACGAGGTCTCACTGTAGGAGCATCCCTTTTACTACCAATTGTCAAGATATGGGAACATGAGGATATCTTTTCTGAGAAGGTAAGCCGCTATCACTGACAGAACCATCAAAACCACTCTGTGAGCAGAAGACAGACAAAACAGAAGCAGTCCGTATTGAAAGTAGTTTTGACACAGAGTGAAACGTAGGAAATTTCTGTGGGAAGGGTGAACTGCTACATGGAAATATGCATCTTGTATGTCAAGAACTGAGAACCAATCCACTAGGTCCAATGATGGTATTATTGCTGCACGTGTTAGCATTTTGAATTGCTGTATCTTCATAAGCCTGTTTAGGAGCCTTCGATCTAGAATGGGTCTCTACCCACTGTTCTTTTCTGAAACCAGTAAGTACCTGGAATAAAACCCCTGCCTGTGTGTTGTACAGGAACTGGTTCAATAGTACCTACGTTCAGGAAGGAGTCTATTTTCTGTTCTAGAAGATGCTTGTGAGAGGGAAAATGCCTGAAGAGGGACAGAGGGAATTGAAGGGAGGGAGGGAGGGAAGTAAAATGGATGGAGTATCCTGCTGATATGATCTCCAAAACCCTCAGAATCAGTGTTAGAATGGATTTAATCATCTGAAAGAGGTATTAATTAGAGTGCTAATGAACTCCAGAGTTGATATTAAAATGAAAGGAGATGGGAACCCCAACAAGCCCAGAGAAATTAGAAACATAGAAAACAAAATGAAATTCAACTTAGAAAAATGTAAGCAATCTGGAAAAAAAAATCTGAAAACAATGATGCACAAACAAAAGAAGAACCCTGGGAAGCAGTAATGCTGAAGAGAATTAAGGATGATAGTTAAAACAAATTCAATATGACTTTGCAGTATATATAGTGCAAAAAGGCCAATGCATTTCTGGATTGCACAAGCAAGTGCATCAAGGAGAGGGTGGTAGTGGTCCTTCTCTATGCGACTCTAGTTTGATAAGACATCAGTTCAGTTCTGGGCAATACATTTTCAGAAAGATTCCAAAAGAGTAACTCAGGCAATCAGGAGGCTAGAAAAATTGACTGATGAGGAAGGGTCTTAAGAGCTAAATATGTATAGCTAGGGTAAGAGAAGGCAATAGGCAGGAGACATAAATGGATATAAATACATTATATTTAAAGACTGAACACTAGGAAGTGGTGACATTATTTATGAAGCTATAACTAGCGACTATAGTTATGAGTAATGGAATGAAAAGTAAAAATTTAGACTGCTATTGGGATGGAGGGAAGCTTCCTGACTACAGAGTCTTCCAAGAGAAGTACTGGATGCACCATTGCAAAGAACTAGAATGGACAAAGCACTAGAAAATGTTTTAATCAGGAATAATCCTTCATTGCCAGGGAATGGTATGGGTGATCTAGGTCTTTTATATCTCTAACTTTCATGATCCAGAAAAGATACAAGAATTAGTCATAAAGTGGTTAGATAAACGGTAGATGCAGATTTTCTAACACATCTATGTTATAATCTCCAAAATTATGTAACACTGTTTTTTCCAAATGTGTTTACCTTCATTTTCCCACTGTACTTTGGATCAGAAATTGTTTCAAAGGCTGCATCTTTGCTCAGCTGGACAAAATCTGGAAACTTGGAAAATACCTGGTTGCATACCCTTTTGATATGTTCTTCCTATAAAAAAGGCAGAAAATGTGATCATCACAAACAAGAAAAATGAAGTTCAATATTAGAGATAGTTTGGTCCAGCATTAATCTGTGAAAGATTGAAATAGGCTAAAAGAGCACATTCTTGATGACACTGGAATTAGTAGTAAATTTATAAAAGTGCTCAGTACAAAAGCATCTGACAAGAATAAAAAAAATTGAGGTTTTAGCTTAAAGGATAAGAGGCTACATGGTTAAATATGAGAATTCTAGTAACTAGAGTCTGCCCAAAACACATGGTAGTCCTCTCTCCTATATTAAAGAAAATAAAAGTGCATTATCTTACTTGGAAAAATACCAATGGTGGACTTTGGCATATATTAAAGAGAGCATTGCAAAATTTTCATTCCCTAATGGAGAAGTTCCCAACCTCTCAAGATTATGAGGAGGATCATTAATTTTCTGATCTCAAGTGCCACAATGGAAGATATGGCAGCAGACTGCCTCGCAAACCTCCCCCCCCTTTTTTGTTTTGTTTTGTTTTGTTTAAGACTTTATTATTTGTTTAGTACAAACAAAGCTGGAGCTGGTCAAAACACAAATATCCTGTCCCAAAGAATTTACAATCTAAAGGACACACAAAAAGACACTGAAAAATACAGAGGGAAGATTAAGAAAGGTTTTTAAATCAGTATTTAATACTATAACCTCACTTCTTGCTGGCTCCAAAGAAGAGTTGATTCTTTAGGAACAATATCAGAAAGGAGAGGGCAAACAGACTGGGAGGTCAGAAGAAAAAAAAAAAAGCAACAATGGGCTGGAATGGGAGGAGATGACAATAAGGTATTAAGACCGATCCTGAGATACTGAGTTCAATGGGAGTGAGGGTGCTAGGTACCTTGCAGGGCCAGGCTCAAAAATACTGACTGATGGAACTAGAGCCCAAGTTTCCTACTATCTTAGATTTTCCAGTTTGCTTACTAGCTGTAATTGTCAATATTTTAAATCAGTCTTTTGTGTACAGATATAATCAGACAGGTATCAACTGGCACACATACAGTAAATAATCATGGGAAATGAATTCACCATTAAATAATACTGCAATTCTAGCCTACCATATCATACCAGTAACTATTTCAAGCACTGCAGCATACTGTAATTTCCATAAACCATTTGAACTCTTAATTTTTTGTCGTAACAAAAAAAAACACTATTCTTCCAAAGCACGTCCAACAGAAGCGATATTTAAATGACATTCAGGCACTTACTATGGTGATAGGTCTAAGTATAAAGTCCTGGACTGCGAGGTGTAACACTTTTCAAAGAGGGACCGCCTTTTTGAGGAAGCAAATTGTCAAATTAAGCCAGGAATGCTGCACTTTTATCCCCATGAGGTCTCTAAATGAGGGGGATGACATCCCTTTCTATTTTACTCATTTGTGATCTTAAAGGTATATTGCAACACTTTAAAAAAAAAAAGTTTCTAGGCTGCCTCTGTCTTCACTTGAGGGAAGAAGTGAATTCCAAGAAAATATTGGTGTGCCAAAATCAGTTTAGATTCACAAATTCCCCCTTGCCATTCTAACAATTCAAGCTGACACGGTCTTCTCCTTGCCCCTACTTTGATAAGAGTATTTCTTCTTGTGCTGTTCAAAGCAATTCAGCTCTCTCAAAAGAACATAATTCTTTTGGAAAGCAAATGCCCTAAAATATTTTCTATTTTTTACAAAGAAGCCCACCCAGGAGAAATTCTTTTGATAAACAAAAAAGTTACAAGTAGTTGCCTCTGACATTATTTGAACACGAAAAGGTCTGCTTATCTCAATAATTACTGTTCCCAAAACATCACCAGAATTCAATTTTTAAAAATTACTCATGACTAAATGAAAAATACTGCTACTGTTGAAAACTATCAAATAAGGGTTGATCCTGCACTATAAAAGTCAATGGGAGTTTTGCCATTCAATTTTATGGGAACAGGATCAGACACCAAGCACTAACCAAAATACTTCAATTCCAGCTAGCTAGACAAAGAGATGAGGGTAAATAAAGTTGAAAAGAAGTGGCCAGTCACAATTATAGCTAGCTGCTACAATAAGACTTTTTCACTAAAAGGTTTCTCCCTTTGTTTCAAGACTTTGCTGTTCAGGCAGATCCAAACCAACCTGAAGTTTGCTGGTGTTCTCGGTCTGTAGTAGAGCAGCATGATTAGCAACTTTCCGAAGGATTGTCAGGTAACTGAAATACAGTGCCCTCATTGTTTCACCATGGGCATTTGTCTGTAGAAACAAAGAAAACAAAAAAAGCAAGAATGCTTCCTAAAAGTACAAACAACCTAGAAAAATGTAAATATCCAAAAGTTATAGATATTCTAACCATATTTATTGGCAGCTGGCAGAATCAGGGTTCTAGAACTCTAAGATGAGAACTACCATTTTCAGCAGAGTGTGTATTTGCGATTTCTAAGTATTTTTTAAAACCTCTTCTACACAGATTAATATGGGAACCTTACTCATTTTATTAAAAATGCAGCATGACAGAGAATACCTACAATTTTCCTGCATTTTGTAACAAAAAGTATTAACGGAAAAGATTTCTTTAGAGCTGACGCCAGGCATAGGCAAGCTAAGCAACTCCTTAGGGCCCTGAGCAGCTCAAGGGGGCCCCCTATTAATTATTGGTATGTGTTGTGTGGTGAGGTTCCAAAAATATTCCTGCTAGCACCGCCTCTGCTTCAAGACAACAATGTTGTTTATATTTGTTCTTACATATTACAGAACATGTAATTTATAGAAAGCTAGGGTGACCAAGAGGCCATGTAACACATCATAAGAAAAATAGAAATGTTACAATCTATTTAAATTCAAATTTAAACCACAGCTGTTTTAATGGCATCTTACCCAACAACAGCTAATAGTTTTCTTTCTGAAAAGAAACTCAACAATATTTTACCAACATAATAATAAACATAATATAATTAAAATGACTTGAAATATTTATGCAAGGTTTTCTACTGCATCAGCTATGACATCAGATAATTGTGTTTTCCTGGTTATGGCTGACCGACTTTAAACATGTAAACATGCCAAAAATAACAGTCAGTGCATATCATTGAAGTTATTAGCCGACAAATAATAAAAATGATAGCTTTAGCACTTACACTCCATTTCCAATATTATTCTTAAATGCATACCATAACATTTTAACTAGTGCCCAATCATGTTTCCCCCTTCTCCCTCTCAAATTGCTAGATTTCATGGGTAACTTCAGGAAGTTACTCTATAGCAATCTATTGTACACTTAAGCATCTAGGATGTGGTCAAGGGCTTCCAGTAATTTTAGGTGTCATTAGCGAACTGAATGAAATGGAGTGTCACTTTTCTCTACAAAACATCATGAGACATAGAAGCATGGAAAGAGCTAATGTTAAAATTGATGAAAAAGCAGCAGCATACCCTCATAATGTAAAATGTATTAATAAAATAAACAATCCAAAAGCTGTCTTACTGTAAAAAGCATTTCAACAAGAGATAAAATAGATAGGGTTATCACACTGAAGCAAAGCTGAAAAACATTTATAATGTACATGAGGAATAAATACACTATATAAAAGTGTGTCATTGGCCAGTATTATATGCTCATTTTACTATTATTGTAAAGTGTGTATTTGAATAATGATTTTCCATTACAGGACAACTTCTGCAGAGTAATTACACATGTATGCTTATAATTTGAATCTCTTGCTATTAGAGCTGGAAGAGAGCTATAGGTCATTCAGTCCATCTCCCTGTCCCATGCAGGTTGTTCCCTACTGTATCTTTTCTAATGTTTTACCACAGCTCTAAGAAGGCTATTCCACAACCTAATACAGCTCAAGTAAGGAAGTTATTCTTGATATCCAACCTAAATTTTTCCATTCTTAAAATTTGAACCAGTTGGTTGAGAGAAGCTGTCCATAATGCTCTCAACCCAGACTGTAATAGCTCTTAAAATATGGGTGTCAAGAGCAGAGCAAACTGAGTGACCTGGAGACACAGATATGCCTAGACAATAAAGGGTGAGAGGGTACATGGAAGAAAACATGAGACTTCAATAAGTTAAAAGTAACAGGGAAGTTGACAAAACAACAGAGTATTTAATGTAAAGATAGAATACATGGGAATTTAGAAAAAATGCATTGCTTAAATTGGAGAAGTAAAGACTGGGAAGAATACCAATCAGCCAAAAAGAGTGCAGTTTATTATTTTGAGAATCATAAAAAAGAATAAATTCAAAGCAGACAAGAGACTACAAGAAGTCTTCAGTAATTGCTACTTCAGGGAACAGCAAGACGAGTGGAAATTGAGGCAACTTCCATCACAGCACTTCCATCAATAGTTTACAGATGACCTGTGTCTCAATCAGTTTGGTTTATTTTGTCTAGATTTTTAAGTTAACAAGCTGCCTGAAGTTATATGATTTTATTTCAGATGTAACCATAGAATAAGCAGCATCAGCACTCCCAGGATATTTTAAGGGGCAAGGTTATGGGTTTGCTGAAGTAAACATCCAGGGTGCAGTTCTTGAGTTTAAATTGACAGAACAAATTCTTATCAAAGCCTCCTTCTGAATATCTTCTCCTTGCATGCAAAGTGCAATGGATGTACTGAGTGGAAGATCACAAGGGGTCAGTGAGTACAGTTAAGTCTGAGTTAATTTGAAATTAAGTTAAACTATAACTAACTAAGTTTCTTCCCCATGACCTCCAATTAACTGACACTATATTTATATTTATAACTGGAGTTTAATGGCATTTTTTCCTGAAGTTCAGTATTTTAATAGTTTTCCTGTATGTACAGTATATTTTCCTTGGTTTGTTCTTTAAATTGATTTCCCTATTTTTCAAAACAAATTTTTATTGTTTAATAGATTTTGTTGCTAGTGTATTTATATACATATATCTTTTGTTCCACTTTCCCTTGTGAACTGTTACATACAGATTAAGACAGCCCCTTCTTTGCAGAAATAATCATTTGTGAATAGTGACTACCGCTATCTCTTATCCTAATTAGAGAGAGAGAGAGAATGTGAGAATCTCAGCCACCAATGTGTCATAACTATCAGCAATTATTGGCTATTTAATGGCAATGACCAAGTAACATACTTACCTTTCATCCCTCACCTTGGATTATTAAACAAATATAAAAAGGGATCAAAGAATTTCTATTCTGCCCTCAACTGCTACAAAAGTTGTGTGAGCAAAGGTGAGAGAGAGCCTGTGCATCTAGGGGAATAGTGGTTTTGGGGGATGCTCCACTCTGCAACCCCTCTTTTGGTGATCTATTAGGAACAAGACCTGCAAAATAGGTAGGGAAAGTCATTCTCTGAAGCATGCTCCTTCACATTGTCCAAACCAGCAGGTGGAGCGATGCAAGTTACTGCACCTCCTGAAATCTAGACTGTGAAAATACTTACTTTGTAACAACAATTCTTCCTTTTACGGCCACTGCTACAACTACAGGGCTCCCATGCTCGCAGTACTAAGCTCACATCTTCTGTTGCCAACACAGCCTGATATACTTGTTTCTGGAACTCTGTTAGGGAACAGTACACCATCTGCCAAGATAGAACCCCAAAATACAATTGTATGCAGCATACAGGAAAAAACAACAAAGACACCAATAAAAATATAAAACAAAAATGTTAAAATACCAAAATTACGGAAAATGGAAAATAAACTGGTAGATGTATAGGTAGTAACAGGGCATTTTTCTGCTCCCAATAAAGAACTGGAGGCTGATGTGCTGAAAAAAAAGTGTGAAAATATGGTCAACAGGTAGCTGTGGTAATTTTAAGACTTTTTTTTTAAAACCAATTCTATTAGCAGTATTAAAATCAAACTACATCAATCATTCTGTAGTTTTACTTCCACTACATTTTCTTTAGGCTTTTTTTTTTTTTGGTAAGTGAAGGGTTTAAAAGGCCTAGCCGTAAAGGTTCTTGCCCACTTAGTCAGAATGGTTTATTTGCCTTTTCCTTTCGCTCCCCTTCGGCACTAACTATTGTAGAACACTTCTACTGTCAGGGAAGATAAAACACAGTCAAATCTAAGGAAGCCATTGATACCGAGAGTCACAGGAATGAGAGAGAGAGAGAGAGAGAGAGAGAGAGAGAGAGAGAGAGAGAGAGAGGAGG